GAGTTACAGTAAAGCTTCCTTTGCAAAATGCCTCCAAGTCACTAGACAAAAAGTGCTTTAAGGGATGACTGTTTGATAGGGTTTGTGAAAGATTTTTCAGATTTACAATAAGAAAACCTCCAGTCTGAAAACCAGTAAGACTGTAAATGCTTTACCATTAGGTCTTGATTTCTTTGTGGACAGAACCCATCTGGGGTAGCTAACATTCTTCTTGCACTACTATTAAAAATTGGTATCCTGAAAATATACATAAAGACTTTTATTTCACTTTGTTATCAAACAGGTTTTAACAATTCTAGCATTGTGTCACAGGTAACACTTTATATTCTAAGTTTTTTTTTCCTTTCTGCTGTCTTAAAATGCATGAAGCTGACGACGTAATACTAAACATTTTTAATCACAAGAGTTTAAATACTAACTTGTCCTAACATTCCTTATGAAATAGGGCTTACGGTTCAAGAAGGCACACGTGACACATCCAGAACTTAAAGCTACCTTTTGCCTACCTATCCTTGGTGTAAAGAAGAATCCTTCTTCTCCTTTGTATACAACACTGGGCGTAATCACCAAAGGCACCGTCATTGAGGTGAACGTGAGCGAGCTTGGCCTTGTGACCCAGGGAGGAAAAGTCATCTGGGGTAAGCAGCCAAATGTAGTGGTAAAATTCTAACAGTATAGGCAGAGATTTAAGTTGCATCTTGTGAATTGTCAGCGTTGATCCGTTCTTAAATATTAGTTTGGAGCTGCAGTGGAAGCAACCACTTGCTACCTATAGAAATGCAAGCTGCAAGTTTTAATCTTAGGCTTTTGCTTCACATTTTCAACATCAAATTAGGTAAAGTTCAGAAAAATGGCTTCACTTACGTGGCTCCGTTTTGTATTAATCAGTGCTGCAGCCTGTAATGACCAACCCTATGAACGGGTCATGTTACGTTTTTGGTGGAACTTCTATAACCCGAGGCATCTTCACAGGATCAGGCTGACTTGTACTGCAGTCTAAGCCAGCCTCCCTGTTGAGAACTTGAAATGATACAACATACAAAACAGCCCGAAAAAATACTTTAAAAATCTCATTTCCAGCTCAGCAGAAACTGGATTTAGATTTTTAAAATGCATTTCTCTTGGAATAAGATTTTCCTAGACTTTTAAACAAAGTTGTAGATTAAACACACTAACATGGAAAATTCTGTTTTGGTTTATTATGTGCAAACTATTTCAAACTTTTGTAGATACTTAAAGCTACCTCCTTTTTCTTTTTAGGGAAATATGCACAAGTAACAAACAATCCAGAAAATGATGGCTGTATTAATGCAGTTCTACTTGTCTAAGTAGCACCTGAGACAAAGTGATGGACACAAACAAAACCAGTGCAGTTTCAACAAGCTTAAGATCTCTGGAATATTCAGCCATTGAAGAGCACTGACCCCACAAGCTGGTGAGGAACTTAAACTTGCCAGACTGACTGCTCAGATGTTTATTTTTATTAAGTTTGTTTGGCTGAACACTATCCAAATAAAGCAAAGCAATTGCCATATTTTGGTGATGTGGTGTGGCTTTGACCAGAATCGTCTTGGTAACAGTTTACTTGTTAAATTCATAGCATAAATACTCTGCTTACAGTTTTTAATGGTGGAGAAGGCATCTGTTGTCTCCCGGGATGGCAAGACTAGGAACCTGTTGCAAGAATTGCAGGTAGAGAAGAGCGCATGAACTTGTATTCTGCTTCTGGAGAATCAGTACCGCGGGATGAATGTGGTCAAAGTCTTATTGCAGACTGACACGAGAAATTAAACATTTTTAATTTGGTACTTGGCCGTATAGTAGTATGTACTTAAGATAACATAAGCAGCACAGGGTGGGGCAAGATTACTAGAAGGGTGATTATTTCTTTCTCCTTTTACTTTCTTTCTTCTCTCTCTACCCGTGACTGCAGTACAGGAAAAAGTAAGTATTTCTTTAGAGAACAGTTTAGTAAAGTACGGGTGGTTTTAGGATAATGTGGAATTAGAGAAGGGCATGACAACACTAACACTGCTGCTTGCAGCCATGGCAGTACCTCAAGTTAAACTGAAATCACAAGCATCAACTGGTCAATGTGTATTTACCTTGTATTCTCTGAAAAGACAAGAAACCAAGGCTGCTTCTAAGTAGGAAGTTATCAGTGATACTGTAGTTAGAACTGTATTAGCAATCTTCTAGAGATACAAATGCTACCTAGTCAAAAAATCCGGTGATAAAAAAACTTAGCACCATCTACTGGTACAAATACACACACTCATCTTGCGTTTCTACCCTTAAACAGTATTTGAAACCAGAGAGCTTTTAACATGAATTCAGAGCAAAATCATTATGAAGAATTTTTGCAGTTTTATGAACATTTTTAACCCTCAGTGTTTTAAGATAGTTCAGAAGCCAGCATGTGAACATTTTTTTTCCCCAACTCATTTTTTCTGTCTGTTACAATAATACAAGTTTTAAGACCAGCACTTATTATGTCCACGCCGTACATACACTCAGCCACAGGAGGATGTAGTCTGGCAGATAAAACAGCATCACAGAATGGTTGCTGCTGGAAAGGACCTATGGAGATTGTTAGGCTAAACAGAGTCAACTAAAATAGGCTGCTGAGGACATGGTCCCGTCAGATGCTGAACCTCTCCAATAATGGAGAGTCCACAACCTCTGGGGCAACTGGTTCTAGTTTGAAGGGTGAGGGAGTTAATAAAAAAAAAATTAAAAAGGCATTTTTTTCCTCAAATTCAAAAAATATAATTTCTTTTATTTCAATGTATGGCCATTACCTCTTGTCCTGGCACAACTGGAAAGAATTTGCCTCCATCATCTTTCTACCCTCCCATCTGGTATTTACACACACAGCTTTTCTCTCCTCCTCAAACCTTCCCTTCTGCAGCTCTCAGCCTCCTCACAGGAGAACATTAAGTGACTGGAGGATTTGTGACCCTAATAGTATTTCCAGGCTTGTAACTCTAGCCAAGAAGTCAAACTGGCCACTTTTTGTACCAATGTTGTAATGTCTCTTACATTTCGCAACAAAGACACTACTTTATTTTTTTAATATATTAAAAACAAAAGAAAGCTATCTCTTTTCTCCTCTGACTCAAGTCTAGATCCACATGTTAAACTGATAAAATCACCTGTAACTTACCATGATTTTTTACTTGTTTGTGAGTAAAAGACTTGAAGCTGAGAGGGTCACAGGCAGCTATGTCATTTGCTTGGAGAGAAAGCATTTTGTCAACATAGCTGAGCCTGCATTTAAGGAGCTCCTGTTTCACCTTTCCCTGGGCATGATCAAACAAGATGACCAGTGTTCAATTTTCTGTTCCACAGCTGGGTTCTCTCCTCCTACTCCACTCCTGTGGAGTGCAGGTACCTCAAGAACACTGCTACATCTGTTGTGTTGCAAATACATTATTTCTTGTTAGCTGAACAATAAAACATTTGCAATGAAAAGGACATTCTTGCAATGTTTTGATAAAGCCGTGCAAAGCACGACTTTCTTTCAAAGTCTGTAACAACACATTGTGTGTTATCTTTTAAAAAAATGAAGTTCTGTAGGGAATGTATTGCAGAATTTCTGTTTGGGTCATCTACAACAAAACAGACTGACTAGACTGAACTTTTTTTTTTTGACCAAATATGCTGGAAAGCATAAATTACAGATCACCTAACTGTAAAATTCACCTGTTTTTAAACCTGTTTTTAACTTGTTTAAAACCTGTTAACCTGTTTTTAAAAAAAGATCTGACATATAAAGCAACCAAAGTTCAACAAATTGCTTTAATAGGTTAAAAAAAATCACTTAATAATTTTGAGCTTTTAAAGCTCCTTTGTAGTAGATGGATTGTAAAATAGTGCTGAGTATGATAGCTATACATTTTGCACTAGTGTTGCAATTATAAAGATGCCTCCTGTATAGCAGGGAGGGCTCAAATACTAAAAAACAGGGGAAAAATCACAAAATATAAGTTTAATTACTAGTTCAAAACATTTCAAAACCAGTCAAGACAATACAAAAAAAAAAAAAAAAAGGAAAAGAGAAAAAATGAAACACAATGCAACAAGACTTAATACAGTACTGTAGAATAGCAACACATCTTTCATAGGATTTATAAACAGCAAATTTATAACAGGATATCACTACTTTAGAAAACGACACCACATTTATGAAAATAAATTTAGAATTGTATCTTCTTGGAAATAAAATTTTATAAAGGTCACTCAGAGCAGAGAAGCTGAAACTTAGGCCTATTTATTGCTATGTTTAACTTAGTAATGTTGATGCCACTGTAAATGACCAATTTGATTACTGACATCTACAGAATGAAATGGTATAAAAAGAAACAAGCTAAGGTCAGACATAATTTAAAATAAGTTAAAAGTACTTTTTGAAGTAAGATACGTATACATTTTCATGTAAATGGCTATGAAGCATGAGAACAACAAACAATTCTGCATGAAATGAGAAAAAGGACCCCCAAAAAGTGGGAAAAAGCAAAGCAGCTCCCGTTAAAATTCAACAAGCAGCACAAGAAAGACATTTGAACAAATGCTGGATTCAAATACAAAACCGTTCACCATTGAAAAGCAAGGTAGAAATCACAAATTAACGTTCTTTAAGCTCTATTCCTAGCCTAAATAAAGCTCAAAAATAATACTGCTTGCCTTCTCCGTACACATGTAGTTCCAAAGCATGTTGTAGTAAGATTTGGTACAAAGTTGTAGAAAGTTGATGTTTTAATTGTTGATTGCTGGTGCAGTAGGATCTTAAAAATACTTTAACAATTCAATGGTAATAGGCCAGACAGTTAACAGAGGAAAAAAAACAAACCTATTCAAGCCTAAAAAAAAATCTGTTTTTTTTTCCTCCCCAACGTAAAACACTTGAGTCACCACGGTAGTCAGATACATCCTCTTGCATTAATGTAACAGAAGGCCTAGACTATTAAACTATGGTTCCAATGGGACAATCAGTACTGCAAGCAACACACTGACTTCATGACAGCACTTGGGATTTGCCACTTGGCATTGATCATCCTGGAGTAAATACCAAAGAAGTTATTACAGAAAATAAAGCGTGCCCTGCAGTTCAAAGTCCTGCTGCAATCACAGCTGGAACTGACTAGTTTTCCCCATCCACATCAGAATTTCTAATCCCACCTCGACTGCCCGGTTCTGTTCTTAACGATCCGTCCAGCAGCTGCTGCCTTGGGTACCCTCGATTTACAGAAACAGCCCCTCAAGAGTACACTTAAATACTGAACTTAAATTCACACCTTTAACCCCACCTCTAACTCACCGAAGTTAGATCAGAAATCTAGCTGAGCTCAGCAGAATCCACATCTAACTTAATCCAACAGCACTGCTGAAATAGTTATGTATTCAACATGTATATCTTAAATATAGGTTGTTAACTGAAATCAATACTGAATTAACTGTGGAAAGAAAGAGTAAATGAGTGAGCTGACCTTTTCTCATTAACACTGTTTTCCAGTCTTAAAAGGGAATACAAGTGGTATAAACATATGCACCAAAAATCCAGTTAGAAAACTGAGATAACTGGGACTTTCATAAACAAAAGAATCCTTGGAATTATTACAAGTAGATACATTTTTATCAATTGAAGAATTCAACAGATTAATGCTTAGGAAAGCTTACTCTAACAAAAGAAAGATGGGTTTACAACATAGTTCATTCAACCCTCCATTTTAACTATCATCAATCCTCTCAAAGCCCAGCTCCTAGCAATGCAATACAGATTTTCCAGCCATCATGTTCTCGCGTTTTTACACTAATTTTTAAAAGTAGAAAGAGAAGCCATATTACAGACGACAGAAATTGTCTCATGAGCTTCACAGAAAACGTCTAGTTTCTGAAATACTTAAGGTTCACTTGAATAAGCTCATAAACCATCATGAAAGGTCTGACCATGCAGCAAGGGCTCACGGCGGCGGTACCCTTGCTTTGCTAGGATGTTACAGCCAAGTGCAACACCTCAAGAAACCCAGGTTTACCTCAGTGATTCCGGGTACCCTAAATCCAAAGCTTAGGCAATCCATAGTTCTAAAACCCCATTTTTAAGTGTCCCTGAACAAATTAAAAAGGAGTACAGTTCTGTTCATTTCAGCCAATTAAGTAAGAATGTATCTTATACAGTTAAAATATCTTTTAAATACAGTTAAACTGTATAAGCATAAAAATTAAAGAACAGATTCTTGTGTTTGCTTTATAGGGAGATAAAAATTAAGACAGCATTGCAGTTATTCAAGTGAACCTTGTACTTAGAAATCCTCAACATCAACTTCAAGATACCTCTATTTTCAAGACACTGTAGAAGACTGAATTACTAACCTTAGAAAATATAAAGCAGGACAAAGACTTGTGTGATTTTTTGTCCTTAAAACCACTGCTCTTCCTTATTCCTAGAACCGATGTTTCTTATTCCTGAGTTTTTAACCCATTCTGAGAGGAGCTTCATTTATTGAAAGAAACATATAGCAAATGAGGAAATAGCTTACAGCATACGTGGCAATTTCAAGTTAAATTTATGTTTGCCAAGAATACCTCTGAAGGGAAACATGCTTGAATAGCCCTGATGTGATTTCTGTCTCCTTGCATATTGCAAAGCTTGGTTGCTGCTTTTAAGAAAGCGATAAGCTGGGAAGTTACCATCCCAGGAATTACGTCCAAGTTAAAGTGGGAGTCAGAAATATTAGCTGCAATCTCCTGCTAACTCCTAAAGGCATAGGAGTCTGGCAAGCAAGCATTTGCTGAAAACTCCACTTATATTCAAACTAATGAATGTCACATCCCCCTGCAATGCCAGAGCTCACAGGAGTCACACACCTAGCAAAGACATTTTAATTACCCAAAGCACCAGCTGAGCATTTTGAAAGCACAAAGCACCACTTCCATTCAGACCAATGCTAGATCAAAAACTGCAACATCCTTTTCCTGAACTGTAACAAGTCAGTCATCGAGTATCCATACAACACAAGCAAATAGTGTGTACTGGAAGCTGCACTCCATACGTTCTGGAAAACTCACGCATAGCAAAACATTCGCTCTGGAAGCTACAAAGAGTTTACTGTGTAGACATCTCTAAACCTTTCCTTAAAGAACGTGACTATCCGAACGTGCTATGGGAGATACTGGGTGGACACTGTCTCTGCTGACTCGGCTGTTTCACGTGATGAGCAAACAGGAGTTGGGAATCAGAAGGGCAAAGTCTCCAGTTCGAGTTTAGCAAAATACAGGTGCTGCTTGTGCTGATCTATTGAGTTATACCTGCTTGTAGATTTTGAAACCTAGAATTACTTAATCTTACATTCTTTAATCTCATCTGAGAAAGCCTATGCAAAGGAAACAAGAAAAGGGGAAGGATGTTCCTAGTTCTGCTTCTCTCCACAGTACAGAACACAAGATTATAAAAATTCTAGAGTGATGTCTATGGGAATTTAAGCGACCTTAACAGACCCTTCTTGGCCTATTGACCATTTTTCTTCCCAGACTGCCACCTTAAATATGCAAACTGTTCTTTGCTGGCACAACTTCTGTATTATTCAGCATGAATCCTTTATAAAAGGAGGAGACTGGCCATTTACTTTCATGCTCTGATGAAGCTCAAAGTATAGAGGTTAAAAATTCAAGAAAACTTGAGGAAAGGTGATAAATCCCAAAAGGAAGTCCAACCCTATATTTTAAACATTGGTGTCCTGTGTCCCACATGGTTTAGTTATACCCTACTGTTTTAAACAAAATAATAACTTTCTTACAAACAGATTAATTACTATTTCACTTTTAGGCTGGTTTTCCTTTTTTCTTGGGTGGACCTTTGTAGCCTTTGGCCTTTCTTCTCAAGGTTCTCCGATCTACAATGGGGACCTCAATCTCTGCTTCCTCCGAGCTGCTGTCGGCAGCCCTCTCTGCCGCCGTCTGCGTGTACTGATCCATCTGCTCAGCAGACTCTTCTGGCTGCTCTTCTGCCTGGTTCTTCTGGCCCTCCTGTCCTGAAGGCTGCTGAGGAGAGACACCCTCAAATTCAGCCACCATCAACCCACTCTGACCCACAGCAACGGGGGCCTCCTGTGAATTGTGCCCTGCTTCCTCATTCTGTTCTTCCACGGAGGAAGCTGTTTTGGGCGACACGTTTTCAGACGCAGATTCTTCTGCTGCTTCGGTCACCACCGAGTTTGGCAGCCCATTGTCCGAGGGTTCATCCCTTGGAGCTGAAGCAGCTGCATTTTCTTCCTTTGATGATTTCTTCTTTTCAGCTTCCTGCTGCTCTTCTTCAGTGCCGTCCTTCTCTAACGGTGGAGTTTCTTCCGCCAGCACCTCTGAACTATTTGCATTTAAAACCTTTTGTTTGTTTTTTTTGAAGCGGGAGAGGAGAAAAGACATCAAAAGGACAATTACATTTAAGATACAGGACATGCAAAACCCTTACGTAGGAACCTCAGAGGAAATTTTGGCATTCAGGAGCTCCCAGTACTACATGCATTGTCAACAAACTGGTCCTCCTCTTTGCCCAAGATACCTTTGCAGATGGCATTTGATGTTCAGAGAGTGTCTTCTACTTTCAAATTTGTAATTTGGGCTCAGGTACAACATGAATATTCTAAAATTAATCCCAGGGGATTTTTTTTTTTTTGGACAGATATAATTAACATCACTTTACTAGCACAAAGTCCCATCACAATCTGCTTTTACACCATAAAACCAAACCAATAAAATCTGTATTCTAGAGGGGCAGCCTACCAACAATTAATTGCTTGTGCATTTGGTCACAGAAAACTACCACGCAAAACAAAATTGTGACTTTTCACACATATCCAACTTATGTAGGGAGAAATAACTGTTTCATTACTGGCAAGGCAACAAAGTATCTTTCTTTTAGATACCAGATGCACACACTCCCTGATTCTGCACATTAAAATAAACTTTAATAGTCTGTTTATTAATTGATTTAATCTGTCCTGATATTTCTTTTCTTCCAAAAAATTCACAAAGCAGTGACAGGGAAAGATGTTTTCTATCTGTCACTTGACAAAAAAAGTGTGCATACAGTGAAGTATACAGAAAAGATAAAAGGCATACACCAAAAAGAAGGACTTAAAATTTGCTGCACCTACCTTATCTGATACAGCGTCTTCTGAAGATTTTGCTGGAGGTTCAAGGACTAATGGCACGAGCAGGGTTGAGGGCTCCTCTCGACTTTCGGACTGCAGTTTCGATTCACCACTTAAAGCTTCATTTGCAGTCTCCTCTTCAGCTGTAAGTGAAGCCTTACTGCTTTCTTCTGCTACCTCACCATTAAGAGGTTCCACTGGAATTTCCTGAAAATTCACATTTTTAAGTCAAGGTTGTGCTCAGACACTGTTTCCAGACATCAGTGGGTATACTTATCACCTAAATTTGCAGTTTCACTCACGAAAACAGCTAGCTCAGGCACCTAGAAAAGTGTACTAAGAAGACAGAGCTCCATGTAGGGGCTACCCAACTACTTAAACTGCCTCAGAGCTTTCTGTTATCCGTCACACTGCATTTCTCACAAGTAGGCAAGCTGCAGTCATTCCTTCAAACTGTAGGTTAAAGATCCACACATGGCGTAAGCTCTACTTGCTCACAGATCACTAGAAACATAAAATTCTGTAGCTTCTGAAGTATATCAGTTATTAGCTCCTTCAATTAAGCCTTTTTTTTTTTTTTAAAGATATATTGGATCAGTTCTTTATCCTATTCCCATTCTCCACAACATCCAAGTGGGACAAATCAATTATAGAAGCTAGAAATTCTCACTAGACAGGCTAGAAATTCACTTCACTGAAGATCCTATGAACTCTAAGAAAGACAAGTAAGCAAAAGGAAAGTTCCCCCGACACTAATTCTGCACAGCTTTAGCTTTTAATGTGGGGTTATTAAAGCACTGGTATGTCAATCTAAGAGTCAATAAGATATGGATCTAGGCAGCTAAAGACCATACTTCACAGAAACTGTAGTTTCATATTGAAAACTTGCCATCTACCATCACTGCCACTTGCATATCTCTTGGCTTGAGCCTTGCCCGTCGACATCCAGCTCACCTCCTTCTCGCTCCGTTTCTCAGGGGGTGATGCATGTAACTCTGTTTCTGATGCACACTGATCCTCGTTGTCAACAATCATCTCCTCGTCGTTCTCCACTGCATTCTCCTCTGGTTCTTCTGCCAAGTCTTCTGAGTTTTCGGATGTATGGGCAAGCGGTTCCAGCCTGCAACAGATATTAAGATAGTTACTTAACATTTTTAAAATAAATGCATAACTTTGGTGATCAGCAAGGAAATCACTCTCTCAGGAGCAACTTTAAAGTTGGTCATATCTTACACTGTGGGAAAAACAGATTCAGAAATACAACTGCATCTAAGAATGGCTATTGCTTAAAGAGGTGAGAGAGATTAACTGGACAAAATTGCTGCAATAACTATAGAGACATCTATTTCACAGTGTGTGTAAACTTCTCTAAATCTGTTATTTGAAAATGAAAAACACAGTTAATCCACTACATATTTAAAAGCTACAAAGGGGGTTAGAGAAGAAGCAACTTGGCCTCACCCCACTGCAGGAGCAGTTAAAAATTATGCAGCTTTATAAGCAATTATGTTTACATAACCATTGAACATGCATGACTTAGAAACACCACGACTGAATAATAACCTGAGCTGATTAACACATCCTGGCTGAAGATACAGCCAGCTAGAGATTAAGCTAGCAAACAGCTAAAGATGAAGTTTTGAAGCACCTGGTATGTAGTGACACCACCTCAAACATTCCAATATTTCTGAAAGGATAAGTCCTAGGTGCTCCGGAGTAGTTCACTGGAGTAGTATACACAGATCAAAACAAGGAGATGGATTTGCACAAGGCTGCTTTGCAGTTCTATAACTGCAGCATTAGAGGGACTCATGCCAAATGGCTGTCCGAGAGGGAAGCCTTGCACAGGAGAGTGGCTCTAGGCAGGGGTCACATCCCTGAGGGAAGACCCTGCTCTGTTTGCTGGGGTGCACGGAAGGAGCAGCAAATGGCCACGTGGATCCACGTAGCCCTGCTCAGACACCACATTACACTTCTCACTCATAGGAGAAGCGGCCTCTTGTTTGATTCCACCTTGCCAGGCCCCAAATACTCACTTCCAGTGGCAGGGGCCAGGCTTCTCTCATGCTCAAGCAGTCACAAGCCAGAGCGTTTCCTAACTGGAACTGCGCAGGCTCCACAAGGGGCAGGCAAAAATCAGGCTGCGGCTACACGAAGAAACCTGGGAAGCCACTTAGCGTGGCAGCCAGCTGAAACCGAATCAGCTTCATGAAAATGGGTCAAATTTCTCCAGGGAGAACAAATCACAGAAAGAGATGTCTGAGGGCTGAGCTACGGGGGGCCCGCGAGTTTGCGCAAGCTGCGCTCCAGGTGGTGCAAAGGAGCAGTGCCCACTACAACCGCGCGGCAACAGGATACCCAGCCTCGAGGGCAATTCTGGTTTGGGGCTTTATTTTTAAATGAAACCTAATGGAATAAAATTGTTAGGGATTTCCCAGGAAATAATCAAACTCTTTTCACAAAGATAAAAATGGTTTTCCTTTCTCAAAAAGACAGATTTTCAATGACAAGGTAGTAGAAGAGTATAAAGGAAGAAAGAGAAAAAATGTGCCTGCATTACGTTCACACACCGGAGTGGGGAGGAAGGAGCATTTATTAAAATAATCATACCTTTGCTTTCTGGAAGGATTTCTTGCCTCGTAAGAACTATTGTGACGCACACAGACTTTCTATTTTTTATTTAATAACAGTATGAATATAAGCCTATTTTTTTCTAGGATATAAGTCTTGGCGTGACAGCTCTTAATTAGGATTTATCAAAAGGATTTTTCTTTAAAGGAGGACGTCCCGCAACTATTTTGTTACTAAGTCACAAGCAGTAACCATACCCCAAACTAAATAGTCAGATTTTATTCAGCTGTACCATAAAATGTCAGAAAGGGACTTTTCTCCAAAGATTGCATGTAACATGGTGGATAAGTGTCCATCTATATTATTATAAGGAAGCATGCTGTGTGAATATAGATATTTTTACCTTAACACATTCCTCTCAAACATACTCTCAGGTCTCTCTTTTTTTCCTGTTCTTTCCAACATCTGTTGGACTTTCAGAAACACCAGATGTCTTGGCACAGCCACTCTTCAGGTGCCATTTCAAATTCCTTTCTCACTCCCTGCTATTTTCAAGCAAACCAGAGTAGGAAAAAGGGAGTGGAAATGCCATATACCACACTGATGGAGACCCCTGCAGTTTGCAACTGCCTAAACAACAAGGTAATAGTATAATATGAGCTCCTTTACCTGCTTTCTGACACGTGAAGAGCATTTTCCTCATCTCCTCTGGAAATTTCAGGTTCAGATTCCTGGCTATTTTTTCCTATCCTGGGGCGTTTTAAATGGCTGCTTCGTGTCCGAATGGAAACAGGTGTTACAGTAGGCTCTTTGAAGGGAGAAAACATACAAACAATTACAGGTGAAGAAAATCAGTTTGGGGAAAACTACACACAGAATTTTTTCCCTAATCATTTCACTAAAGCAAGTGAGTGCAAGAGAAAAGTGAAGTGGCATTTTCCCGTGGTACTTATTTTCTGAACACACATATATAGCCTTGTTACCAAGACTTTTTACAATTAATTTTATGAATGGGACCCCAGCATCTTGGAGCTTCCATCTGCTTTGCAGACGAATAATCTAAATTACAAAGAGCCTGCTAACCTAGTAATTCATAATCACAATACTAATATAAGTAATACTTTTACCTTCAGATGTGCTTGCACGGACATCTAATGATTCTTTGCCTTTTTGAGATTCAGCCTAAAGCAAAAGCAAGACCAATGTTATTTTATGCTCATCTTCCCTTCGCTGACTGCACCTTTCTGAAATATTATTCTACAGTAACTATGCTACAGAAAACTGAATATAGCTATTCTTAATTTAAAACATATATATATTTTGTACATTTTACAAAGTATATACATAATTTTATTATGCATTTTTATATTTTGTATCTCAACAGAGCAGCTTTAGTTTTTGATTATCTGGTCTCAAGTAGAAGTACTTTTTCTGCTTTACTTCTGATCCCAACACACTACATCCCAACACACAAGATGAGACTTTTCCATAAACAGACATTACAGACAACGCTAGGAAGTTTTTTGTAACCAGTGTACAGCAGGTGCCCATAAAATTAACTGCCAAATGTCTTTTATTTTCTTGCTCCTCTTTTTTTGTAGGTACCCCAGAATCTACCCCAGAGTAGATGAGAAAATTTAGCAGAACAGTTTCATTTTTACACTTGTACTTTCTATACTTATTTTGATATTCAATAGAATATAGCAATCCACAGGTTATCTTTACAGGAAATATATAAATAAATGACAGCCAAAAAAAACCCCAGAACTTAGTGAAAAAAGGAACACTAAATTCAGCAGAGAAATGCATTTGGGGATTTTTTTCCAGGTGTCAGGGATGGCAGTGTTCCTCTCTTTTTAACAGTCTATCAGCTTTTAAACTTTGCAGAACTCTGTGCAGACACTGCAGGTGCCAGAAAGGAGCTGCCAGCAATCCTAGCAGGTGAGGAGGAACTGAAGCTGTTTGGGAACCCAGTATCTACCATCATCTTCTCGACCATGGCAAAAGAAAGGGCTTGAATTCTTAACTTACAACCACAAAAAAAACCCTAAGAACTAATAACATCCCTCTGCTATTTTCTCCAAATACATCCACATAACTCTGCAACCAAAATACACACTTTCATGAAATGCTTTTGCTGAAATGACCATTAGCAACATCTATCTGAATCTGCAGGTTAGTGATAAAGCTCAAACAGTCTTACAAATTAAAGACTATCATAGCAGTTACAATGAAGTTGCTGCATTCTCATCATTTACATACTGAAAACATCACTACTTTGCCATCAGTTCTGTTTTGGGAGATGTTCATTTTCTCAACTCCAAAAACAGACATTTGATTTAGGCTTTATGTTTAAATTTTATATCTAAAAGGATGAAAGCACCAATCTAAACACTATTTCCCATTTTCATGATTCAATATGCCACTGACTTTTATGAGAACATGGTCATATCTTAATGTTACAGATGGTTTGAAACACAGAAATCCATCTTCCCTACATTTGGAGGTATAAACTATTCCCAAGAACATTTTGTGCAGTCTTGGTACACATGTGGCATAGAGGAACAGATGCATGATACTCAAACACAAAAAGTATTCTCAGCTGCATACCCATACATAGCTGAAATCAGGCTAAAACTTCAAATACATATAAAGAAAGCTGTAATCCTTCTACATGGACAACAAATAACCTTGAACGCAAACTAAACACTTTCCACCATATTCAGTTGTGATGCGAGAGTGCAGTTGTATAAACATTTGTCTTTACTCTCTCCATTCCTGTTCAACAGCTGTTCTGGACAGTTTAATTTCCGAGACAGTTAAATATTCTCCTCCTCTAAGCTGCTTGCCAGCAGCCTAAGTTACTAGACATTGGCAGTTGTGACAGACCCCTTTCATTCGGGGGAATAATGATGGGGAAAAACCCAACAAAAGTATATTTTTTACCCCAGGTTAGTCATCAGTGTTAAGCCAGTGCATACATGGAAACAAATATTAAACAAGCATAGTATACTGTTTATCAAACATATCAATCTACTAGAATCATTCATTTCTCAACTTCAGAAATGAGAACTCTGGGGTTTTTTAAACTTTTTAAAAAGTTAAAAATATTTACTGAAGATAAAGAACAGGTAATTAAAGATGAAAGAACAAGACAAGATGCATTACATGATTATAATCATGTAGAATATAAAAAGTTTGAGGCTTTTAAGAGATTGAAAACATTCTGTGTACCTACACTTAGCTGTGTTTCTGGCTTTGTGTTCTGTTCGTTTGCCTCAGATCCTACTGCTGATGGCAGGAAATACTCCTCTGTCTGGAAGCTCATACTTTCCTTCTGTGAGGCCTCTTCTGCTAAAACCAGTCAAAATGGGCAGAAAGAAAAAAGAAAGATTACAGCATCTTTATTAGCCTTTCTGAACATGACCTCACAAAACCCCAGGGCAAATAAAATTTCTCTATTACTTTCCATGACTAACATTCAGCGGAGCCTCTGCAGAAAAAACAACCTACAGAAAAACTTCTACAGTGTCACAACATAACAAAATAAGGCACCCATACCTGTAACTTTGAACTTCTCCCTTTGCAATACGGTGGTAATAGGAGTCCGCTGGAACCAGTGTCCTGCTCCCTCCACTTCCCATAAGAGGTCATGGTCCCCAGGGTACTTCTCAAAGTAGCGCTTACAAGCTGGAAAAAAAAAAAAAAAAAAAGGAATAAAAGTCCTGCTTTGTACAATATAAAAGTTTATCTGGAATAAGTTAAATTGAAAGCTTCCATCATACACATAAGCCACCAGAAACTGAGACAATGCACAAGTGGTCCAGCCTGAATAATGATAACACTGCTATCCCTTCATCATCTTTCTCAATAAATCCTTCCCTTCAGGTTTAAGCACCTTCCACTGTTACATTAAACTGCAAACAAAAAAGGATGCTACTGTTTTCCCTTTTTTCTGAGCATCCATTTGGGGGTTTTACAACTTCACTGGTCCCTGTCTGTGCCAATCACAAGACCAAACTGGTCTTGTGGTTGGAAGGGCTCTCAGGTAGAGCATGCAGTTAAGGGATCTTGCCAACTAGCAACTCCTAAGCCCTTGTTAAAAGCACTCTGGGAATGCAAGCACATTGCCATTGAATGCCATTTATTATCATCAACTTACCATTCACTTTTGAAACACTTTCTTCTCTGCTATCCCTTCCCCTTTTTGCTCCCACTGTATGTGGCAAACACACACATGGAAAAGCTTGTTAGGACACTATTTTGTAGGGGGTCCTAGGAAAACACTCTCTTTTCAATTGATTCTCTACTGAGGCATAACTTCTGCAGACAAGATCTCAATATATAATCACTCCTTGCCAGGGAAATTCATTAGTTATTAATTGTGCTCGGGACAGTTGGCTGGCTTAAGCCTAACAAACAAGGTCTATTCAGATCCAACTGCAGAGTGGAGTATTTTAAGAGTAGAAAACTTTTTAGCAAAGAGGCCTGATGAAAATATGAATAGAGGGAAGCCTGGCAGATGCACTGAGAGCTGGACAAGACAAAGAAAGCCCTGAGAAACTGGGCAAATGCAGTTCTGCTTGCTTGAACATAAACAATGCCAAGCAACACGATTTCCAGGAAGTTTGTCACTACCTAGATACCATCTCCCTCCTTGGCTGTTAATGATAGAGCAGCAAGTGTATTCCTTTTAAGTTAAAACATAGTCAAGAATGTTCACTTGATCAGACATCCTGAGAATGTCAACAGGGAGTCAATGACCAAATGTCACACAAAGAGGATTCAAATTCTATAACGAAGTATTTCATCATCTTTCCTAAATGAGGGTTTTAATCTTCACTGAAGAGTAGGACATTTAAAAACCCTTTACTGTGAGGGTGGTCCAACGCTGGAACAGGTTGCCCAGAATGGTTGTGGAGTCTCCATCCTTGGATATACTCAAAATCCAGATGGATACGGTCCAGCACAACCTGCTCTGGCTGATCCCGCCTGAACATGAGATTACCTGCAGAGGTCCCTTCCAACCTCAGCTACTCCGTGATTCTGTGATGCAGCCACAAACACAGAGTGCTGTCTTGCAACTTGAACAACACTACTCATTTAGACACAAAGAGAAATCAAAGACTACCAGAAAAATAAATCAAAGAGCTTGCCTGTGTACATGAAGGATGACAGAGGGTATCGTAAGCCAAGTGCGTCTTCAGTAAAGGAATCCACAAAGTCTTCCAACATCATTAGCCCAAAATCTTTTCCACGATGTTTCTTTCTTACAAACATTGTGTCTAACACTGGAAGCTGATAACTCTGAGTAAGGTAAGAAGTACAAACACTTCCTAAAACAATGAGAGGAGGAAAATACCCATCAGTATTTCAACACTGGGGGAAAAGGAGCCAAAAGAAAAAAAAAAAATCATGAATTGGACTTTTCTATTGGCTACGTAACTCCTCAGGAAAAAAAAATATGAAAATTGCAATTCAGCTCTTATTGAAGGAATAACTCCAGATTTTGAAATGAAATGACACGCCCAAAAAAAAAAGTAGTTTTGCATTTTTGCATAGAAAAAATTCAATAAATAGCACATATTATCTACAAATAAGACTAAAACAGACTGTAATAACACATATACTTCAGTATCAGAGGGTCTATTGACTATAATAGTCAGTGATGCCAAAACGACGTCATTTAATAGTATTAGAACAGCACGTCAACTACCAAATCGATTTGAGGATTTCACTCATTATATTTCAATATATTTTGCCAGACGGTGTGAATGATGCCAGTAAATGACCCTTTCCTCTAACGAGGGGAGAGAGAAATATATGGTCTCCTATACAATTTGGTTTGTCCTTGCAATACTTTTTAAGAAGAGTGAAAATACTTATCCTTACTTTTCAAGCAAGGAACACATAAGCAGGAAGGTTACATTACTTGGACATTGTCTGGGATATTAATCAGGCTCCAATGCTTTCCTAATCATATGTGTATGGTCAATGACCAGCCAGTTTATTATTGTATTTTAACAGTTTGCAAGGACCTATGTTTATGCTAGAGCTGGGGGACATCTTCAGGGAGTCTCCAGTACCATAATTAACCCATAATACATTAGACTCTTCTAGGGGTAAAATAGACATGTCAGAAAGTTCCTCCCTGATCCAAAAAATTATCCTCTAACTATGAAGTGATATCACTGTACTAAACAGCCTATTCCTAAATACCAAATTTTATTGGTATTTAGGCAAAACTTGGAAAACCACAATAAAGTTCAAAATAACTAAAAAGGAATGTTCTAGAAAAACAGAAAAACTGTTGGCAAAACTGTGAACTCTGAGGGAGTGCATGTGAATGGAAGGAAAGGGAACCTCTTTGTCAACACTAAGCATAGCTGAGGCTTGTGCCCACAAGTGAGTTTTTTTCTGCTGTAAAATACTGGAGAAACATTTGCAGAATCAAGTAACATTATCTGATTTCAGATAAACAGGAGCTCCACATTCTGGAGCTATTCAGGCCTTAAGTAGGCAAAATACTTCCACAAGTGTTCTACTCTCCAATGAATTTCAGATTAATCAAAAATGACACAGACTTGTCCAACATATGTGAAAGAAATAACAAACCAAGAAAATCCTTGTGCTTTCACACTACCAATGTGTCAGCACATAGCACGGGTGCACAGGTTCAAAATTGAAAAGGGAAAAGCACAAGAGACTGTTCTAACCTTCAATTGATGCAAATGAATCAACAGAGGAAGCCAGAGAAGCAGCAGCAGAACTTGATATAGATATCAGAACTCAGAACAAAGCTTTAATCTCATACTGGCATATTTCATTAGCTTCAAAGGATGATAACACTTGCTTGTAAACTAATTTTGATCTATACTAATACCCCTTAAAAACAAATAAACATATGTCCATCTAACATTGCACTATTGTCCTATGGAGAAAAAAGAAAAGGTTTCAAGAACTCTTTTTTATGGGTTCAGATTATCTTAAAATACAAGCTAGATTCAAGAAGTACCTTCTTAGATTCCTAAATCACATAAGCATTTAAGCTACTTCTAGAAAATTTAACTGCAGTCTGATCTTTTATGAATTCAAAAAACACACTAGCTCACTAGGCCCACACAGCTTGCCAGGTCTAACTACACACAGTATTTTCCAAATACACTTCCCATCTCACCTCTTCTTCCACACCCAGGGAAAAGAAGAAAAAAAAAAATCCCTCAGTGTACAAGTGTTTTACCTGTAGGTTTAACAGAATAGAACCCAATAGCCTCTCCTTTTTTCCATATGATCTTAGCATAGTCATTGCTACCATGACAGAGAAATGGGATCTCATTTCTTTCTATTTCTTGTTTCCGATAGATAATTCGATTCAGAACATAGAGAACCACCCTCTCTCCAACAGACTTCACCTAAGGAAAACACAGAACATTTTAGAAGAGCAGTTAGTTAAGTTGATACCGATATAGTAGAGACCTTATTTTTCAAAAGTGCCAGTTAACACAACTGCAAGAGAAGCTTCAAGTGCTCAAGCAGGACAAAACTCTGGGTTTTTGTCTGAAGACAGGAGATGCTCTGAAGCCACAGCAACAGTTTATGTGAAAAACACTACCACAGGGAGAGGATATTTCGCAACTTCAGCATGAGTCCCAACCCAATGGGTAAATACTTGGGGCTGGGAAGAGAACTTTTTTGATTTAACTCAGATTATTTTTGGATCTAAGAAACATTCACCACATGGAAAGCAGTATGTCAGCATCAGACTTCTCAGGCCAGCAAGTAACTGGAGTCCTACAGAGAAGTCATGACGAGCCCTCACTTGGTTACAGGACTCAGCACATTCAGATCAACTACAGTTAGAGTGACAGAGACAACAGGACATGATGCCACGGAAGAAACACTTTTAACAGTTTCTGTGGTATTAGACAAGTTAAAAACTAAATCAAAAAAAAATGTAGCCACTAATATGAGTGTACAAATGCAATGAGCAGATATAAACAACAGTGCTGAGGAAAACAAAATCACCAACACCACATAGACACCAGGCAACTTGTATGTTCCCAAGCCCCCTATATCCGACTCTCTTCTGTTAAAAGTTTTCTCCTGGTATTTGTATGTAGCTTACTAATCACCTGCTAAGACTGGCAGATATTCCTACAATACAATGTATCGCTCTCCCAAGTCATTTCAATACCACCAGATATACCATATCCCAAAGGGCAAGACAAAAAATCATCATTAACAGCAAAATAATTTGCATAGAAAGTGATCACACAAGCACCACTCTCTTTCTAGACAATATCTTCAAAACCAAATTCCCTTTCCCCTATTACAGATTCCACTATTCCCCTTGATCCTGCTTTTATATGAAGTGGCTCATTTCCAAAAGAAAACAAAACACATTACATCTCATACACCAGCTATTGGCCATTATCTTCATGGAGAAAAACAGTTGCTAGGTGAACACTGGAGCTCTTTACCTGCTGAAGCCCCTCTCTAGAAGGTACAGATGTTCTCACAATGTCATCAATTGACCACCACTGGTCAGCAAGATACAGGGCTACAGCTTGAGAGAAACAAGTGGAAACAGAAAGTTAGTGATTGTCACCATTTCAAAAGAAACAAATTCATTAAAGGCACTAAAGCAGTTAGGAATATCACTGTAGCAACCAAGTTAAGCAACTTCTAATCAGCCCTATATTCATCCAGTTCCTACTACCTTAGCACAACACAGGTGGTGCTATAGATTTCAAACCTCCCCATACATAACAGTCTCTGGTCCAAGATCTGTTTGAAACTGAGGACAAAAAGAGAAACCAAGTGCAGATTTTGAACAGTATGAAACAGGAAAAGTGTTTTTCATACATCAGCACTACCCTTTATTGCTGTGCTCTAGCACTTCTTTGCAATAAAAACTGGCCCTGTCAAGAGCAATATACATAGGTGTATATACGTACACACACATGCATATACGTGTATTTTAGTTGAGGATATTGACATTGAAACTGTTTAAATCTGAGTCAGATGGATATGAGGAAAAGAGTTTGATTCACTTGTGTTTATGGCAAACTCAGAACCCATATATATATATATAAGGTCATATGGAAAGTGGAAAACAAGTCATAGCACTGAGCTTGTTACGGAGAACTGGAAGGGGACAACAGTAAGATGCTACTTTGGCCAGAATTACATGAGGACTTGCAGGGAGGGACAAATTTAAACTTGATGTTGATGGATCACTGCTTGTAAAGAGTATGCATATTCACAGCCAAGGGTACAGATTCTATGGAAGCTCAGAACACTCATTTTGGAAATGCGAGGTGTACATCAACAACTGAGATACATGTTGTGCTTTGTTATTACATGCACTGAATCGGACAAGCACCCTTTCACGTTGCTAAATAGCCTGTGAATTTCGTGTCCAGTTCTGCTCTCATCAACATGCAAACTTCTATTATTTGTGTTGAAAAATCGACAGCAAAAAAGAGTAGTATGGGAATATGACAGTAGTGGACCACAAATGGGAAAATAGCAAAGTTATGAGCTACATCAGCACGGAACGGGCAAGGGCCTGGTTACATGTATTGTCATGGAAAAGGAGACAGCAACACGGAGATTAGAATCTTAAAATGAAACCTGTGAGCGAGTCCTCTGGTGCAAACAAAGCAAGAACTTTGTGTGTCTGCTCTCCACCATAAAGAGGAACGAAGCCCACAGTTGACAAGCTAATAGGAATCTGAAACAAGAGCGTACAACACTTCAATAGACTCTTGCTGATACAACATTAGTAAAATATACAGAGAACACTTAGCAAGATAAGCAAGATGAGTTTTGAAAACTGAGCATGTCATAGTTAGCTGTAAAAGGCAAGTATCAGACCCTCCCTTACTAACTTCTTTGTAACACAATCTTCTTTTTGAAGAAAGGAGGAAAAAAAAAAAGAAAAAGAAAAACCACCTAAAGAGCCCAATTTTCAAGCTCTGGCACATTAACTGCAGCTCTTTATGCTGCCACACCTCTGTGCTGTCAGCAGCCTGTGCTAACGTGCACAGCTGCAGTGAGGTGTGTGAAGGGCCAGCACACACTCTCTGCAACTGCCTGGCCACCCAAGCTGCCAAACCCTGCCGGAGCAGGTGGGCACAGGACCCAAACACCTGAATTGCCAGGGTTCATTCCCAACAGCCCCAGTGTGCCAAGGGCCAAGGTGGGAACTTCGGTCCCAAAGGGATTTTCATCCCTAAAATTGCACACATTTTAGAAATTTAAAATTTGTCTGTTTGATTTTCCCTCTGGATCATTATAAGGGTCAAAGCAATTCACTGATGAGGATTAAGGGCTTTTGGGGAAATTCCTTTTGAAACTTCAATTTATATATTCTCAATATTTAATTAGCACATCCACAAATTAGACAAGTGTTAATGGTGTGATAAATAGATTCACTTATCCAGAAAACAGTCTGTAATAGGATCATGATACACTCTGCCACAAATGATGTTAATACAGATAAATATTTAGGCATACAGCACCTGCCTGACCACAAAGGCTGGGAAGTACTCAGGACTCTGCTTCTGCAAAGCAGTCTGCACTGACCTTCTGTGCCCATAGTGACTCCTCTCACCTCACTTACTTGTCATTTAAGTCACATATCATGTCTTTTGTTGATACTACTTATATGAGAAGCGTTCATCTGGATCAAGCCAACATTGGACAATTTATCACTCAAGTGTTTGAAACATAATGTCATAGAACTCTCAATAACAGCAGGTAATATTTCAGACAAAACAAAAAGGGTCTCCTTTTCACTTATGAAACTAGTGAAACTTGCACATCAAGAGTTCAATTCAACTAAGTGAGCAGATCTTCAGTGAAGATCACTGAAAGACTGAGATACAAACAGCCACTGGGCTCCGTAAAGCATGAATTCAAAGTTATTTCTAATGACCACATGAGTTGGTGTTTTAGATTGTTTGGTTTTGTTTTCATTTTTCTAATAGTTATTCAGTACCTACAGAGACATTGTCCAGGAGCAGATGAAGCAACTGATATTCAGATCTGAACTTGCATCACAAAACAAAACTAAGCAGAGCTTAAAACATAATATGGAACTTTCAAAATGTAAAAGCCATGTTAAAATAATGATGTCATCCAACAGTTACGGATTGTGGTTTTTCCTACATATTTTAAATCTACAAGCAATCAACAAAACTATATTTGCTGGTTCTTACTTTGCTGTGGTCTGGCAAGGACAAGAATTCAGGCCGATTTGGATCTCCACACCGAAGGTCAGACATGTAGTCCTCTGCTGAGCTCTCCAAGTCCTCGTGACTGTAGCCATTCAACACATCCACAGGGAATGCCATTATCTTGGGAAAAGAAACGGCACAGTTAGTACTGCAGGTAACCTGAGGGATACCGTGAGTAGATCAGGAAGTAACTAGGAAGGCTGTTAAACGTCCCTCTCTTCTCCTCTCCTCAGACACTATCCAAGGGGAGCACCACGCTGAGCCTCACACTCAGCTCCACAGCCTGGTCTCCCAGTTACAGACAAGACTAGGGCAAGATCGGCACTGCTCCGTGTAAAGCAAACCTACTTCTGTGTCCTCTGCCTTAGCCTTCTGATTTTCCCCACATTATTTACTTTATGCGCGACCTTTGTAGCTGGCACACAACCCTATTCTTCACCTCGGGGCCAGGAAGAGAGAGCGAAGCTCCGGGCACTTACTTAGGGTGCTGCCTGCCAACACTCAGCCTGTGAAGGGACACATGAGCCCAGGCACGTTCAGAAGCAGAAAAGGAAGATTTTAGCCAACAGATCCCTCTAGACCCAAGCAGATGGCAGACTTCTGGGACACAAAACCCCTCTCAGCAGCCCAGGTGCAACAGGACACACACTGCCAAGAGGCATTGAGACACACTGCATGTGTGTTTCAGTGCGGGGCTGCCAGGCAGATACACTGACACCCCACGCTTCCAACTAGCTCATCTTCCCCACAAAGCCAGCCTTTTTCAACAGATCTCCTTTACACTCCTTATTTGAGAGCTGAAACAAAAAGCAACAAGATCTAAACATCTTAGCAACTTAACAGTGCTTAACAAGCTCCTAGCACAAGCGGACGGACCATTAATCTCCTTTCACCACCAGCAGCTCCCCCAACACTGCTGTTAACACGTCCTCCCACCTCACTGCTCACAGAAACCCTCCACGCACCTCCGCTCCATCCTCCACACGAGCAGCTCGGGCTGCACAGCGTCATCCCAGCACGGGCAGCCCTGCAGCTCTCAAGGGCCAGGCGCCGCTCCGGGCCGGGCTGCACCATTAAATCCCACACGCTGCATGGGTTTGAGGCTGCCAATTAAGCCATAGGTGGCCGAGAAGAGGTAAACGGTTCCAAAACTATCAATAGGAAGAATTTCATTTATAGAGTTTGCATTTAAACCTCTCTTGGAAGAAAGTGACGAGTTGTTCAGAAATACTCTCTCCTGCCAGCTGAGAAATGCCAGCAAAAAAACAACAGCCCACATTGGATTTAAGAGACACTTTATTAAGGTGGAAAGAAAACCCAAGCTAAAGCATGGAAGACTATGGCAGCAATAGTTCTTTGGAGGTTTCCTTTGATCCAAATTTGTCTTGTCAAAGCACCATCAAGTTAAGATGAGCACGAGCTCCTGGCACCCACCGACTGCTCTTCAGCTGGGGCTGCTGCAGTCTGTGGGGCTGTAACTCAAAGCAGCCACAGGAGCTTCTGCTGGGCCTCACAAGCCCGGGCTAGCTCACGGGTTTCCATCCTAGGAGGATCCTAGAGCTCTTGATCTTTCCCCACGTTGCTCCCAGCACCTCACCACTAACTCCCTGATGAGAACAGAGTTTTTCCTGGCAGATTTAAGATTCCTAGTCTCGTTTTATTCTTCCTTTTTTGCCAGGCCTCCCTCTTTCATCTGCCATTTAGTGCTCTATAGACAGAGGTAAATTATATGCAAAAGACCTTTTGATTTTAACTCACTCAGCGACAATTAGAAACTGAATTTTAAAAGCTTTTAATGGTAATAATATACTACTAAAAAGCTGCTTGAATAGACAAGACCATTCCTTCCACACAAAAGGCAGATTTTTTTTAATGTTAAAACTGAAAACAAAATCAGACATGATTTCATTGGCACTTGCAGCTGTTAACAAAAAAAAGCGTTCCATTAATGCTATTTTCTAAGATATTACACATACACATTCCCCACAGCAATTTCCTCTCGGATCCAGCTCATTCCTTCCCTTATCTGTTATTTGGACATTCTCTTGCCTTCCCTTCTTGTCTCTCACATTCCTCCTGCTATTGCTCCCTACCCTGTTCCAGATGCTTGGCTACCTCCCTTACTTCTATGTGTGATCCCTTCTCCAGAAGCTGCCCTGGCTCAGGGGCAGGCAAGAGACACGGGGCGCTCGCCATTCCTCCCCATTTCCTCCCCGGCTGGAAAGGGAAGCCAGCGGAAGAGCCGAGGACCCGGCACAGCTGCTGCAAGGGAAGCAGGGCAAGCACTGGCGGCCTCCTCACCTCCAGCAGATAACACTGTTCACCTCTCTATAGGAGAGCTCTGAAACACACTAGTAGCGTGTGCGTATTTTAAATGCTCTGTTTGGTCGAGTGTGAAGCCCCCTGGGCAGATGGGGCCATTCCTGCACAGCTCCCCGCCGGCCTCTTCTCAACTTCTCCCCTCTGCCCACCCTAAGCTCTTGATCCAGGCCAGTAAGCCCAAGCACTAAACACGCTGCCACAGCAGGAGCTGCTCCCCTTCTAATCAACGGCAACAGAAACAGACCCAGCGCCTGGTAATTTCATCTCCCAATTGACTGGCGAGGGCTGTTCCAGCTCTGAGCTTAGACACAAAGTGCTGCTTTGTAGCTAACACCAAGAAACCAAGTAAAGAGCATTCAGGCTTCACAAAACACCTGAGGAAGCCTGGAGCTGCTGATAAAGGCATGAGTGAGATAAGGTACATGCACTATGAGGGGCCAGTGCCCATAGAGCAGAGGTGGGACACAAGGTGCCGACTCCGCAACAGCGCTGGCCTGAGGACCGGGCAGCCTCTGCTTGAAGGAGGAAACAGACACACAAACAATCCAAAATTTATTTTTTCTATCCTAACAGGAAAAAGAAACTATTCGGAAAATACCAAAATGCTTGGAGAGCTCTGAAAATAACAAATGACTGCAGATGAGCTTTAGTTGTTACATGACAAAGAGGCATGCAAGCTACAAGCTGTAGCTAAAAGCCTCTAGGTTATAATTCCTGGCATTTTTTGAATAAAGTAACAAGGGACAAAAGCAGAAAACATCTAGTAAGAAATGCAGTACATTATCTGCATTCTGATCACTACAGTACTATGAGGACAAAAGCAATGAACGTACCTTTGCTTATGGGAAACAAGGACAACTACTTTACGGGAATTAATAAACTCAGAGAATTACTCTCAACATCAAGCAAAGACCTTTCGATTCAGCTGGGGTCAATAACACAAATTCCAGGGCCTGCTGTCAAAGCAGAGGCAGACCCTGACAAGCTCTATGTTCCTCCTTGATAAAAACAATAACTAAAGCAAAAACCCCACTTCTCAGGATGGGGTTTGGCCACATGTTCGGGTCATTTTGCATTTACTTACATTATCTACTTCCCACTCTCTACTCAATTATATTCATTACATTTGAATTTTCAGATTTTGGCATTTAGGGAGAAAAAAGTTGTTTCAACTGCTGTTAAAACGCCTGTTTCAGCAGGGGGTTGAGGGAGGAGGGGAACATAATATATATCAATCTTCAAGATGACCATCATCTTGAAGAAAGAAAATCCGCTCAGCATCCCTGTTTAAAAACACCCTTCTTTTGTCCTGTGCAACAGACTAAACACTTCAAGTTAAGACCTCTCCAACAGTTTTGTGACGTAATTTGTATTTTAGTGTTGACGAGATGAGGTATTCTGCCGAACATTAGCTCTCCATACCCCTGAAGAAATCACTGTATATACACAGAAAGCAATCAAGCATTGACAGCTACAAAACAAGAGAGGGCCTGTGATTTACCAGTCTGGTGGAAAACATGAGAAAGGAGTCCAAAAGTTTAAACCATAAGGCTCTCCACTTTAAACAGCAAATTCACCTACCAAAGAAATAAGGTGGCCGCCAAACCATAGCAAGTTAACAAATAGCCTCACACAAAGATACAATTTGTAGTTCAGCATCTTTACACCCGAGGGCCTCCATGCACAGGAAGTTTTGTGGGGTCTCGTAGGAGAGGAGGAGGGAGACAGCGCGTGAGGAGCTTCGCGGCTGCCCTGGAGCGGCGCTCCTCACGGCTGCTCGCTCCTGCAAAACGAGCGTTAGGGGCCGGGGAGGAGCGCAGGGAAACCCCCTTTAATTTTTTAAATGAAGGAAATAACTCTTTGATTGTTTCACTGGAAAGAAAAGTAAAGCCTACACTCTCCATGAGCGTAATATTTCATTGAAGGGTTTTCAAGACTATGGAACGAACCCACACAAACAGCACTTGCTGTACTGTGGAGTTGCATCACTCGCCCTTCTCCGCATTGTAGCGCTTCCTGTGTGAGAAGAGACACGTCCTTTTCAGGAACAGCCGCAGCAGAGGGCAAAGATCAATTCAAGAGACAACAGTGACCACCACATTGAACAGGATGAGCAAATTCCTTCTCTTAAAGTGGGAAAGAAGCGGGCCATGGTGGGAGCTGAGCCAGGCTACAGATTTTTGAACGCTAGCTGCCATCTCCATTTCATCTCAGGAGAACGAGGGAGACACAGAGCAGACGAGGCCCTGAGGTGGCAGGCAGAGGGTTTCTGAGGCTCCTGGCCGGTTGCTTCACTTCCATCTGCTTCCACTCCACACCTGGGCAACACGAGTGAGCCCTGCTGCAGGGGGACCAGCATGAGAAATACTCCACGAGGGGCACGAGGCTCAGGCACGACTGCAGCAGCAGAGCTCTGCGAGGACTGGACGTAGCCAACTAGCCCGGCCCATCTGCACTGCTGGTTTTCTTTGAAAACCGTGAAGAACCAACCAAGAACCTCCCAGTGTAAAATCCGTGACAAAAGCATGCGTGATACAACGCATACGTACAAAACTAAATCAACAGCTAGACAGCAGGGTGATCAATTTTAAGATTTAAGATTTTATTTATTTAAAAATACACGGAGCTTCTCTTTTAGTTAAAAGGTAATGTTATGAGAGCAGGCACCGGGGTGTTCCCACGGAGGCCGCGGCTTCCCGCCGCGCTCCGCTCAGCGCCGGCTCGGCCAGAGCTCAGGAACGGCTGGAGAGTCACGGGAAAAGCAGCCCATGTTCTCGGCTAGCGCTGACTTCAAA